CTTGTAGCTGAACCTGATTGGTGCAAAGCCTTTCTGGTTATGGGGGAGGTCCAGCAACGTTGCAAATACATTTTACAGAAATGCTAAAGTTAAATTATTTTTTCACACATAACACCTAACACATATTCTTAGCTCTTTCGGTAAAGTCACGTTGAAGGGAAACAATAAAATAATAAAATATATATGAAACAATTAAAATTCTCACGACGTTTCGACCATAACACAAACGGTCACCTGATGATGACCGTTTGCGTTATGGTCGAAACGTCGTGACCGTTTGTGTTATGGTCGAAACGTCGTGAGAATTTTTATTGTTTTATATATATTTTATTATTTTATTGTTTCCCATCAACGTGACTTTACCGAAAGAGCTAAGAATATGAATTACTACAGTCACGAAAGCTTTACATCAAAACACCTAACACGTTTAATTAACACTTGGTAATTTTATAACATTAAAGTAACTAATGTAATATTTTTGATGTAATCATATTTGAAAAGTTACAACTGTACGGTTTTATTATATTAACTCACCATGAATTAGAAGTGAAAGGCTTATGTTCACAAGGTGTGGAAGGCAGACGAGATATTTCTTTTTACATGCTTGAGTTTATTTGTTATTTGTCAAATAAATAAATATGAAAACAACTGTGTCTGAACAGAGGACGCGGATGACAGAGGTGTCCAATGGCACGGTTTCACCAAATTCCACACAACAGACAAATATATAGCTTTAAAATTGAGAGTGCACAATTACGGCAATAGTATAGAGATTTGCGTAGAACATCAACGCCATCAAAATCTATTGAATGTAGTTGTTGCCAGGCACTGTTGGTGCCGACAATTGTGTCGGTGAGTATTCGATGCTCCTCATGTTCTTTTATTCTTGTGCCAATGTTTCATCTCACCTGGCCAAGAAGGCATTCTCCACATGCACAAGTAATCCAGTAAACTCTGCCTGTTGTTAGTTTGGGTAAATAAAGTTTATACTTGGTACCAGTTAACCGTTGTTGTATTTTGTGTAATGTTGCCAAATCTTCCTTTTGTATAAAAAAAATCTAGCTAATTTATCAGTGACTTCAGCAATATATACGGGAGTATTTTTTTTATTGCATTTCAAATTAATCTTTGGATTGTCTTTAGGATTGCTCTCCAACACACTGGTGGTGCCCCTGAAGTAAGAATACATTGTCTCCATTATAGTTTCTTTTTTTTACGTTAGATCGCGTAAATAGAAATGTGTTTTTAAAACCGCTACCACCCGAAACAGCCAATTGGTAAGGTTTGTAAAAAAATAAACATGCCAATTAGTTAAGAATTCAGCACACCAGTGTGTTCGAGAGTGACAGTTCGCCAATAATTACAACCAGCGTCATCAGGCGCCAGCCATAATTGTAGAGAAATTTTCCTGTAAAATGTCTCGTTTTTTCACGTGATAACTTTATTAATTGGCTGTGCATTGGGTGGAGGAGGGTTTATGACTCACATTTTACTCATGCGATCTGATACAAAATCAATTATGAATCACAATATTGGTCGCAAAAGCACACGTGTTGAATTTACATGCCAATTGTATTTATTACGGTGGTCTGAGATAGCGTTTTTCGCTTCCTAATGTTGATAACTCCAGATTAAAAAATTATGTACAAGATTAACACTTAATGGTATACTGATGCAATCTAAATATATTTTGCCAGAGAGGGTTTGTTTTCTATACTTTGAGAAAAATTGCCAATTTTTTGGTAGCCTTTCTGGCTTACCCTGAAATCTAGCTTACCCTGAATTCTGGCTTACTCAAGTCTGTCTTTGAGAGGATGTTTCTCAGTTATCATTTCCGGATAGGAATCACGATTTATCAGAGACCCAATGGACCGTGCACCCCTAGTAAGCACATATGGAATAATTGTCTCATGAAAATGTTCTAATAACTAGCAGCTTAAATTATATATATGAACTAAATAACAAAACATTAAATAAGATCATTATGTTACGCATTGTCATTGCATATTTAAAATTGGAAGTAATTTTACACAAACAGAGGCACACTATTGATTATCACATGACTGGAATGCATCCACGCATTGGCCATGATGTATGCAATGGTGTCATTGATGCAAAGGCAGTGTCTATTTGCAAAGCAATTACCATGTGACAGATTGCACAGTGCCATAGACTGCCATTTAGGTTTTGCATCTTTTCTGGGATTCCAGAGAATACAAATTAAATTGGAGAGCTCTTCAAATTGTGCCATATCAGCAAGGGTTACCTCAAAAGGTAACGCTTCCTAATTTTAATCACAAGAGTTTTATATATATAAAAGAGAAAACCCTGAAACATAACGTTTATGTAAAAATGTGTATAGCTCCTTACGATTCTGTGAGAAAAAAAGCAACATAATAAACATCAAATATCATTATACCTGGCCTTTGTAGGCTATGAAAATGAATTGGACTCACTGCATAATGATGTTCTCATCCAAGCTCTCACAAACTGAAGCCTAAAAAAAACCCACATATTTAGACGAAACTCATGAAAAAAATGGAACACCTATACATTGAAATTCCATGAGGAACGTAAACCAAATGTTTATTAGAAGAGAAGTCAGATGAGGAGACGCTATTTTTTCCGAAGTTATTAACAGCAACAGAATATGCTTTTCAAAAAAGTTGGATTTGAGAAATGAAGTCATTCATGCGAATGGAAAAAAATATTAACTATTTAAGATTTAGTGAAGACAGTTGTAATGACCAATTGAAGTCAACTACAAGGAAATGATAGAGGAGTGTAGTAAAGAAGGTAGGACAGTGGGGCTCAAGATAAATATGAGCAAAATAAAAGGCATGTAAACAAGATTACGTTTTAAGGTTACATCGCGTAAATGTAAATTTATCGTAAACCCACCTCCACCTGACACAGCCAATTACTGAGGTTTACGTGACAAACAATACCACTCATTGGCTGTGTCGGGTGGCAGTGGGTTTACGACAAATTGACAGTCACGTGATTTAAACCAACAAAAACGTAATCATGAATAATGTTGGTTGTGAAAGCCTAAGTGTTAAATTCATGTACAGCAAGTTTGCTAAGCAACTGAAGACGTCTGTCAGGGGAACACAACTGGAAAACACATCAGAGTATGTTTTGAAAGGGGAGCTGTTGAAGGCAGATCAGGATCAAAATTATGAAATATCTAAGTAGATGAGAGCATGTTGGAGTTCAGTGGATAGAGAATGGCTGAAGGTGACGGTTATGAAAATAACAACCCGCAGATTCACCAGTGTGCTTAACAATTTAGTTTTGGGGATTGAGGATTATTTTCCACAAAAAAATGTAAGCTTGGCATACGAATAGCATATTACTTCATATAATGTCATGAGTATTTACTGTTAACTATTTATTTTTATTTTACTAGGTAAGACCAACTGAGCTATATAGCTCTTTTTCAGGAGCGACTTGGCTACAAATGATAGCTCAACAAAGTGGCTTATCGTGTGGTAATTTATAGTGGCCAAATACTCGCAGAAAAGCCATCCGTTGATGATTCTCTGTAGATGTCAGAGCGCAGTTATGGGAATTCAACTTTTGAGGATTAAGTCTTGTAAACTGTCAGAGGTGCACGTAGGCTATCATGCTAGCAAACAATTGTACGAATATGCTATGAACAATTTAGTACATAAAACATGCATTACAATGTAATTAAAACAAGTCATATTCATTCATGTTGGTGATCCAGTTTTTAAGGTATTTAAAAAGTGGGCTTTTTTTTATTAATGAACAGGAACAGAGATGCACACGTTTGACAAAAATGTATTTTCTGACCCCGAGACCCCATTCATGGCTGCTGTAATTGAAAAATAATAAAGTCTCCAAGTTGGGGTATACGTCTTTGAATCACTTTTGAAATGCATAACAGGGCATCAGAGCAAACCAGCTGGATAAGATTTCAATGGAAGTGTCATCTTGGCAAAGAGGTCATGCAGGAATGGAAAAATGAAATGAAAGATTTGATCTCCAAGCTGCCTCTGTTGTAGTTAATGATAAAGCAATTTCTGTGCATGCCAGATAATGTAGTATATAATGGATAATGCTGTTCATTAAATGAGGAGGCCCTCTAGCAGCCTATTCACTCATGGGATATTGCAAAAGGGGCCCTATATATGCATATAAATCACAGCTTCAATAACATGCCTGGACAGGGTTTAAAGACATTATCCATGCTCCCATACACCTGATAAACTGACAGGCTTAACTGCCTAATAATATCTGACATTTATAAAAGTGTGGTGGCTCATAAAATTTAAATGGTTATAAAGGGCATTGCTAATTCAGTCTTCTTTAATGTACCATTAATCTATTTAAGGACTGCAAAAACAATAATTTCAGCCAAAATTAGTTTGCCCTTTTTATTCAGGAAATCTAATCCATTGAAGCAATAAAACAATTATATTGAAATAGTAATATTATACAGCTATACATAAGCACAACGTTGCATATGTTTCACTGTAACGCGTCTTTTTCATCTTTAATTATTTATGTTAATTATAAATGGGGTAATTAACATTTTAAATGCAATTCCAGAATACGAAAATAAGTTTTCATAAATTTATAACAAAATATTATAATTTCAAATGTATGGGGTAATGACCTAAGTTTACTTGCATTAAGTGCTAAATGGGAATTAGTATGCTAAACACAGACCAAGATTTGATGTGACCATGTATTATTTGGTTGTGCCTCCATAATGTCACAGCTCACAGATGACATTTCACACTGCGGCCCGGGATGCGCGCCGTTAATAGATTTCCGTGCGGAAAGACATCTTTATTCCACTTTCTGCGACCATTAATGCTGCCACTGAAGACATTCCTTATAACGTGTCCTGGAAAGGACCCGCGGCGACCCTTGGGGGTCCATCTCATTGCACTGATGTTGAGTAGGGCTGATGTAAAGCGTGCCCCTGAAGATGCCTTTGGCGTGGTTGTACGTGTGCGCTGCCGCAGATAACAAGCCGATCGCTCTGGACATTGTGCCACTGGGGATTTACAGCCTGGTTATACGGCGCGTCGAGATTCACCACGCTGGCGTGTACGTGTGTCGTGCCAACAAACTGGGGGAGCGCAAGTTCGTGTCGGCCGCCGCTCAGCTCACCGTCTACGGTAAACGGCACGCGCATGCCACGAATACAAAAAAAAGGCCCGACGCTGCATCAGCGCCGATGCATCCGTGAAAGCAAACCTAATTTCACGTGTTCCCCGTTTTAATACTTCGTCTCTGAGTTTTGACTGGCATCGCAATCCCGCGTAGCTGTTGGCCTGCAACAAACATTACGTTTTTGTGTGCTTTGAAACTTTTGACATGCCTTCTGCTTAATAAGCAACATCACCAGTGGGTAATTACTGGTGCTGGGATTCTTTTGGTATGCATTTTTTTTCTTCCAAAACTCATTCTCAAAAACAAATTCAATGCAGTGAGGAGGAGGAGGAGGAGGGACAGGAGTTTCAGTGGGGAATCGATTGGTCGCTATATAACTGAATACGATTTTTGAACAAAAATGTTTCCACTCTTCACCCATCCCCCAGTGACCACCATTAAAGCACATGGACAAGCAACTGTGTTTTATATAGCCAACAAATAACTAACATTTAGGTAATTTCATCTTTGTTTGTAACGCTGACACGTGGCATACGGATATGTTAATGTTAGAGGGCTGGAGATTTTAAATCTACCGATTCCTTGCCTTCATTGCATTGATTGAATATCCCATGGCATTTTTTCCATTACAGTCCATAATGTGCATCTTTATCAAGAAAGCATGCCTGTGTTAACCACATTTCCCAGTGGCAGGTGTGACAGCAGGCTTACAAATAAGATTGCCTTGCATTAATGGAAGTGCCTTTAATGATAGTGATGTGATACTGTAAAAATGTAGCGTTTTTAAAACGCCATTTTTGATTTAAATATTTTGTATAATATCCAAAACGTCTCACACGTTTTTTTTATATTTATGGGTCACATTGCTGAGGTTTTCTAAGAGTTTATATTCTACAAAACATTTAGACTGAAGAAAATACAGTTTAATAGTTATTGATGTTTATTTTCTCTATATATCTTTAAAAGAAATTGATAATAATCGCATATGTTTTGCTGTGCACTTTGGTTCCTGTAAAACTAATGTCCTATGTGAAAATGTACCATAAGTATAACTAGACAAAGCTCCAGTCATGTTTACGTCATTTATAAACATGCTTTTCGAGTATTTGGCTTGTTATACATTTCCACATGATAAGCGACTTCATTGATCTCTCATTTGTGGCCAGGTCGCTTCTGAAAAATATCTATATAACTCAGTGGGCCTTACCTGGTAAAAGAAAAAAGTTTAGATTATATTCCTGGGTTCTATTTAAGCTCAGTTTCTTTGGAAACATATCCAAATATGAGACGTAATTTTTTTGCATTCCATTGGGATTTACCAATGCCGGTGGTGCAGATGGTGAGTGGAGTGGTGGTGCAGTGGCCACCTCACTTTGCTATGAGCATGGTGACTTCAGATTTATTCCCATCCACAGTTAATAACAGTGAGAAGTGATATCTTAACTATTCCTGAGACCCAACCTTCCCCTTCACCAACCCACACTGACCAGTATGGTTAAGTATGGTCAAACAATCCACTTGACCGACATGGCATGGGGAGGCTTTAATAATCATTTTATTATGATAATTTCAAATTCTAATGCGAACAATATGCACTCGCTCTTGAAGAGGGAGAGGAATATGAAGCGTTTGAGACCAGAGACAAGTGGGAAAGGCAGCAGCCAGTTGATGAGCAGGTGTCAATTTTCCCCTCAAGCTCTGCGGTCCTCTATATAGTAAGATGTTTTCAGCCAATTAATGAGTGTTTATGCATGTGGGGGAACACTGGAGTATCCAGAGAAAAGCCACAAATGTGAGCGGGCAACGCTCTGTGAATACAGATGGAACAGATGGAGATCAGTCCACATGTTGCTGTTCGGTCTCCTGCTGCCGGCCAGGGAGTTTTACAACATTTGTGTGGTGATACACCAACCCTCGCCTCCGCAGTGCTGGACTACAAACGTGTGCAACCACCACCTGCTTGAACTCACAAATGGTTACAACATTATGAATGCAATATTAAAAGTGTAGAACCAGGACTGGATTTAATTAACTTTGCCCCTGGGACACCAAAGAAGAACCCATACCATTCCACCCCCCACCCTCTAACCCTCTTACACATACAGACACATTCACACCAAAATCTCCAACCGTCACTGCTAAAACAGATAACTGCGCAAATACCATACACCCATACTATACCCATTTTGCAATCAACATTATGCTAAATCACTGGCTAGCTGCACACTGTTGTACGAGGCACATACATGTCTGTTGCCCTTAACCACGTAAAATAAATGGAATATGCCAAGTTAGACTTGGCTTGAATTCAACTCACCTCCAAAGCAAGACACACGTTGCGATAGTTATAACTTGTGAATCTGATTGGAGGAAAGCCACTGGGAAGCCCTCCCTTGGACAATATCACGCAGAGAGATGTGAGATGATATTTCTAAAAGGAATAATTGATTGAGAAACCTGCCTGCGGAAGGTCGGACAGGGAGAGAAACATTTAGGAATAAGCACAATCAATTTATGTATAAGTTGTGCATCTCATTTTCATTGACATCAGAGGGGGAAAACAGTACTGGGTAGCGTGTGACAACATGACAGTGGCCACCACGATGGACAAGAAAATCTGTGCCTGGGATTTGAATAGTTAAAGGATAGCCATTGGTCAAGTACTTACAATGATGGGCGACGACGCTCTTGTCTGTTTTCGTTGTGGGGAGATGAATAAACGGTGAAGTGACGTAAGGGAAAGAGCAGTCCAAGAAAATTGCCTCCAAGCAATCACATATTCAATTAACTAATAGGAAGATTAGGGGAACCCATTTTCCAGCCTTTTTCTCAGCCTGTTATCTCTATGGAGTTAATGCAATTAGTATCGTTTTGTTGGTCGTGATCAGTTAAGTGTGGAGATATTAAATGCGGAGATACAATGGGAATATTTTTTAACTTATTTTGCACTGTGCGTAGCCAATCGCGATCATGGGAAGTGTGGAAGGACAACAAACTAAGGACAAAAAGCAGTTCTAAAGAAATGAGTTTTCAATCTAGATTTAACAGTGCATTGCTCCAGTGACTTACCAATATTGGAAGGAAGAGCGTTCCAGACGGAATACAGTCTTTCTCCATGGTATATTATAATGGCACAAATATCGATCCTGTAACCACCTGCAGAGAGAACTTGAACACAAAATTAAAACAGCAGGACTCTCATGTTACGAGACCGGTAATGTGTTAGACTGGTCAGCAGGAGGTATGGGATTGGTCATTATCTGTGTAAGAATCCGTGGAGACAAATGAGCGAATAAGAAACAATGCTAGGTGTTCGTGTTAAAAAGTAAAATATCTGCACACAATTCAATGGCAGCAAGAAATCCAAACTCCAGATTGATGTAATGATACCGTACTATATTTGACTCATTCAAAACGAGTGTATTGATAAGGGATTCCATTGAAATGTATTACTTCGTGTGAGGTAAAATTTTGTATTGTTTCATGTGCACATCAATAATTGAATAATTCGTATTGTGCATAGTTCAGCAGCACCTGGATAGTTCTGTGCAGTAATAGCACCACGTGGTGAGCAGACAATTGCTTGCAAGCGGTAGAGCGCATTAGGCAACTCGGGCAAAAAAGCTTGTATGGTCTGTGTGCCTGGGAGAACAGAAGGTGAGATGAATGAAGCTTGCTGATGCTGCCATCAGAAGCAGGCCCGGCTCCTCTCGGATGGAAGTGCCACTAGAGCTGTCGAGTGGGGTGCCACCATAACAGTGATAGATGGTGAAGGAGCGTGAATTTGGGGGCGGGGGAGGCAGGGACAGGGCCCACCCGGGCCCACCCGGGCCCACCCGGGCCCACCCGGGCCCACCCCAGAACCGCCCTAGCACTGACTTTGTTCGGAAGGCGGAATGGACACATTTTTTTCAAATGTTGTGTTGGTGCAACTGCAATGTGTGTGGATTGATTGGTCTGATTAAAAATATGGGTTGAGCGATGAGCCACTTTTGGGCCATGATACAAGCAGTTTTAGAGCAGCATCTTACGAGAGCAGAGGACTCTCACTCATAGCCACTGTTGGGAACTGCGTCAGAGCACGAGGGAGCGGATGCGGGCAGCAATGCTCTGATATCGCCTTCATCACTGAAAGGGGAGAAGGTACCACCGGCCAATGAAGCTTCAGATTGCAGATCAACAGCCTTCTGATCGGGGTTAGAGCGAAGAGGTCGAGACCACCACCAGTGCAGTGCCCTATCGTATGCACCTATTTGCAACGAAGTTCTTCATGCAGACACAGTGATTTTATCGTGCTCCTTTAGAGTGATAGCCAGACATCCAGAAAACTAAAACTCAATGTTTCTTCGGCCAAGAAAAACAAAAAAACAAATGAGAAAACCACGGCAGGTCGTTATCACAAATGGATGTCTTTGCAAGATCTTTTCAAGTAGATGATCATGAAATATTTCAGGATGGATGCATTTCACACAAAGTGCTCACAACTCAGCCGTGAAAGAGTCACAAGGTTCATCAGATGCTGAAAGCGGCCCATCTTTTAGCCTGTGAGAAGACGAATCGGCAGCTGAGGATGAAACTCCGAATCTGGACCTGGTACAAAAACCTCATTGAGGAGCCGAGCATAGAAGGACTGGGCTTGCCTCTCTCACGACAACTATGGTGCTCGCTAAACCACACTCGAACACAACATGAGAGATGCGCTTACACCTTCCACAAACTGTGGTGATGTCCAAACCGTCAAACGCATCGCCGATAAATGTGCCAAACATACAATGTCCTGGCAATGCAGCAGTGATCCATACAGCACCTATTGCCTCCTTGGATTGGTTGAAAAGCGTATCATTCACCACTATAACACATTTCAAAAGCATTTCTTTTTATGTTCGTACGAAAGAAGAAGACTCTCAGTAGATGAGAATTCCCCCCAAATTACAAAAAGTAAATATATATATATTTTTAGTACCCAATGTGAATACGGTGAAAATAGGCCACCCAACCTATTCAAGATGGACTGCTCTTGCACTACTGGATCCAGTCAATGGATGACAAAGTAAAGAGTAAAGTGTAATAACTCAGAGAGATTGGGTCCAAGTTTTTACGTACATTTATTTATTATATGAAATGCACTCTCAAACTGTAGGTACAAAATGTATTACTCCATTCTGCTCTTTAGAAGGTCCATTACAATAATGTCTGTGACATGGAAGAGCCAATATCTGCTACTACACAGATTTTCAGTGTTTCTATACAGCCCTCAGATGTGTATTCGGGTTGTACTGTGTGTTGTTTGGCATGAAGTCCAACGTTTCGATCCAAATTCTGAGTTTTTTTTGCATTCCTAAAGAAGCTCCCAGCTTTTTAATGTCCAGCAAAACGTTCGACATCGTGACGAACAACACGCAGGTACAACCAAGAAGTACATCAAACAAACTTTTTCAATCTATATTTTTACACCGTTGCAAATTCAGTAATTCCAATTTTTTGTTTTCTTTACATTCGTCGTGGTGATATGTTTATTTTGGAATCAGACTTTGTCTTTAATCAAATGCACAGACACGGTTAAAGGACACCATCCCATGGGCATTGGCTAAGTTTCACCCCTGGAATCAGACTATGTCTTTGGATTTCACAAAACGCATAGACATGGTTAAACGAGACCATCCCACGGGCATTGGCTAGGTTTCACACCAGACAATCCCTATCCCATTCCCCAGCTCATTGCTTTGCTCACCCATCCACACTCTCTGTGGTCCCTTGCTTGCATCCATTGCCCTCTCTGTACCTGACCCTCCTACCCCACTCAAAACCAAAAGGTGACAACACTACCTCATGATTAATTGCAAAAAAAAGTTATTTTTTGCAAGATCCTAGCTCTTACATTAAACACATTTTCCGATTGTGCTATGTCACCAGTGCGAAATGGATTTAATAATCTCAAGGAATCAGAGCTCAGGCACCGTAGCATTTCATCTGGGCAGCAGACTGGAAGAATGGCATTAGGTGAATTTAATGCAAAGGAAAATAACGTGTCCATTATTGACCACCTAGCAAACAAGGACAAATCATGGGATGGCAGATTCACCCTGCTTATATTCTGTGGTTACTTATACAGTATCATGCAGTAGAGTTATATTATTATCTGGATGCAATTCCTAAAGATTTCTCCAAAGCCATATCACTAGAAAGGAGGAAATCACCTCTTGATTATGCAAATATTCATTGATAGAAAATAACGTTTTTCAACTCAACTACCAAACTTATTGCCATGCAGCTCGTGATGAGAGTATTGGATGTTCAGTTGTTTAATATACTTTATCCTTGCTCAATAGCTTAGTTTTTAAAACCTTGAGCAAAACAATTGCCTTCATTGACTTTCAATTCATAGTCATGTCACGTGTAGCACATTGAACATTATGCAGTCATATCTGCCTTGGTGTAGGGATAGATACTTATTGTCAGTTAAAATAGCACAGCAATTGTGGACATATACTGTACTGGACTCTGGCCAATTAAATAACTTCTTTTGCCTCACTGACTGTTTTGTGAACCTGAGGAAGTCCAACACCATGACTGTGTTGGTATGAATACTGATCAGAGTTTTAGTGGTCAGAATCTCTAAAATACATAAAAAAATATTTAAAAGGATATGTTGGTTGGCATCGATTCATTGTATTTTGTTGCAACGTAATGTCGTATGCCGATTTCATGGTAGTAAATGGAATTCGTGTTCGCAAACGCAAGTTTAAAAGACTGCCTTTTTTATTGCCTCAATAATGTTTTTGCAAAGCCTTAATTAAGAACTCTTGTGCTCTGAGGCAGCAGAGGTTCTCAACCAGGCTTCGCCAACCCCTAATGGGCCACATTCACCATCAAGGGGGCTATACAAGGTCAAGTGGTCCATAAGGATAAGCATTAGAGGGTCCATGGAAAAGAGTAGGCCTCGTCACAATAGCAACTGACTCTCTCCTCTCTCCTGCTGCTCGGCTGGTCAGGTGACACATGGTGGTATAACCGTCCATTCATCACATATCTGCACTGCCAACTATGCAATTACTACACTGCCTACTGTCCAGGGGTCCATGGTATTTTCAAAGAAGTCCCTAGAGAGATGGCAGCCCTCATAAGTTTGTGTTAGCCTTTAGCTGACCTCCCTGCTCCCGCAGCCTGTTGCCCCTTCACCACACCCAGCACAATGTTTTACGAATATGTTGACATTTAGGAATATCAGCTGTCTAGCCCTTATAACTGAACGCTGCGATGACACGTTTTAGAAACTGTAATTTGTTTGACTCAGTCAAAAAAAATCAAAGCAGAGTTTTGTTCTCATATATTGATATTTTCCAATTGTACATTTTGACTATTTGGATGACGATATATTTTAACCCGCACATAAGGTCAATGTTCATATATTTTTTACTCAGTGCTCAAGAAAACCCCTATATATAAACATTTGTGTCAAGACCATTGGTAACACTTTGTCACAAACATGTTTCTCATACACATGTAGATGAACATGTGAGACTCCATTTACCTGCAGCCTTCTTATCTGTGACACTTGCCATCTGCTGTGTCAGGCAACTCTGCGAATCATCTCCTTAACCATGGAGTGGCTCTTCCTTTTCTTCATTAATTCACAGATAATAGGAAGAATGCAAACACAGACACGAATCTAATTATGTTTTTTTTTTCACGGATAAGAGAAATTGGAAAATACCCACGAGGCCATATTCCACAAAGGGTCATTTTGTCTCTTGAGATGAAGGTTGTTATGTGATGATCTACCAATTTTAAATGTTTTAAATGTCAGGTGGTGGTGGCACACTGTGGAGGCGAGGGTCGGTTGATCACACATACAGTATGTTGTGAATGTCCCTTCCCGTGAGCATTGAGGTGCCATACCCCTGGCCTTCCAGAAGATTGTACAGCAAAAATGTGGATTATTGTCTGTTCCGTCTGTATGGGTTAGAGCAGGGGCGGAGCCTGGGGGGTGACAGGGGTGACATTCTGCGTATAAGTGTACGACACTCGGTCTGGCGGACTCCGTGCAACTGCATTGTCAGAGTGTGTCGCCAACCGATGGCGTCTAGTTCAACAGCCTGACTCTCTAATCATTCTTGAAATTAAAATTTGTTGAATGTCACCCCGGCCTGAAATCCTGGCTCCGCCCCTGGGTTAGAGTGTTTCCCCATCGCATGTGTAGTGACATCGGGGATGTCACTGTATGGTGCCGGCCCGGAAGGGCCGTGCCGTTCGATGTTCCTACATCGTGGACAACACCGTGTGGGTGGCTGTGTGTAGCACCAGCCCTAGCGTGGACAGCACCGTGTGGGTGGCTGTGTGTAGCACCAGCCCTAGCGTGGACAGCACCGTGTGGGTGGCTGCGTGTAACACCAGCCCTAGCGTGGACAGCACCGTGTGGGTGGCTGTGTGTGACACCAGCCCTAGCGGGTCTTGGCGAGCACAGGGATAGTGCGGGCACCACGCACAGCGTGTGGTAGGGGCTCCCACGAGGGGGAGTGGGTGAGCGTCAGCCCAGGGGCAGGGTTGCCCCGGGCCATGGCACTCTGGTTGACCCCGTAGACACGTGATTCGGAGAGTCCACACAAAGGGCCCCAGGTGGGGGGGGGGGCTAGTGGGTGATCACGTGTCCGGGGAGAGCTCTCGAGAAGGATCGAGAGGGAACGAGAATGTTCGAGAAGGCGGGCGGGGCCGAGGGCGGAGCGGCCCCGACCATAGGGGGATATAAGGCGGGTCCCTGAGAGGGACCGGGGTCGCTGAATTCTACACGCTGGAAGCTCAACATCTGGAAGCGGGAAGCTCTACATCTCAAGCTGAAACTGTTCGTCCTATGATGCAACCACGTGGTCGGAGACCCGAGTGAGGGTCCGACCCTTCGAAGCAGTAACTCCTCTGTATAGAGTAGTTAGCTGGGTGGTCACCACCCTAGGCTGTATCTGGTGAAGGGACAGTTACCCCGTTGTGTTACAAGTAAATGTGTTCCCTCTAAAAGGAACGTCTGCGACTCAGTTGGACTCACTACACATGCTTGGGTTTTCTCGAGGTGCACTGGTTGGTTTGCTCCCACATGTAAACACTAATAGGCCGATAGCAACTTAATATATAGAGGACCGCAGAGCTTGATGGGAAATTTGGTACCAGCTCAGCTTCTGACTGTCTTTCCTGCTTGTCTGTGGTTCCTGACGCCTCTCAGTCGTTCTCTCTCTCTCGAAAGTCAGCGGAAACTGTGCTCATTACGGGTTGAAAGTATTCTTATAAAGCAACTTTACCGGCTATGGGAATTAAGACATTTAGACCCCTGAATTGTTTGTTACCTCGGGTGCTGTCAATGTCTGTTAAGTTTGGTTGTCTCTTGGAGAGATTGGCTCCTGCCATAGTAATGTGGAAATCCTACCACTAGCTTAGGGCTGTGGGCAGAGATGAGCACTGTTAAATGCTCATTTGAGCATGGAGACATTTTGACTTAAAAAAAGAACAAAAGTACAGCCATTAATTCGCTTTTTTCTGGAACGTCCAGCGCATACAAACGCACGTTGTCATGGGAACTGGACAAGTTTTCTAACTTGACAAGAATAAGAATCGACTCGAGAGGGCATCTCGCACCATGCCCCAAGAAGCAAAGATTCGAGTGGGTCGCAACCAGGAACTGTACCCTTTATCTGCCAATATTGATGTGTTTTGTCTTTTGTTTCTGTTGTTGCTGTGCTCACGCACCACTGATCTCCCATGTAAAATGGCCAGTGAACTGGCTAAATTGGATCAACCGTACAGCAAACCAAATGAACTCAAACTTGTATTTCAAGAGCCCTTTTACAGACTAAAAATAGCTTGTCCGTGTAGCTGGCGTAAACTCCATTTCCCGGATTCGCACCTCGCTTTTGTTTTTACATTTCTTCGTTGTCCTGTGGAATATCGAGAGCAAAACAAATGCCGTGTAAAATGACGAACGCACGGATTGTGATGCGAGGACAGCGCCTCCAATCATCACGCAGCACCCGGAGACGAGCACGCAGATGCGCGCCAGCACGGCTCGCTTCCTCTGCAGGTCCTCGGGGCAGCCCGTGCCGCGCCAGCGATGGCTCAAGAACGGGCAGCCCGTCGTCTCCAACGGGAGGGTGAACGTGCAGAACGGAAACCTCATCATCAACCAGGTCACTCACTCACTCACTCGCCACCCACCCACCCTCCATCCTTCCACACGCATCGCCGGGCGTGTTGCTGGTGGTAGTGCACTCGTCGTGTTCTGCGTATACATTGTGAGCCCTCGTATCTGAAGCCGTATTGCCGGCGTCCGTGTTGTTCAGGGTGACGTGAACACACGTGACAGGAGGGCCGCAAGAAGGCTTCTTCTGTCTCCCATCCACGGAGCATGCAGTAAACCACCGCAGTCTGCACTCCTTCGACGGAGGAATACAACAACTACGAAACGAGCTCTCTCCTGAAGCCCTCTCATGGCTATCAGACCTCGGACATTGGCATTGAGCTCGTGTACATATTGGCAAACGTAATAATTGAATGCATCGTATCAGCAAACCTTCTCTCTGCTAGTATATGTGAACGTATGCTTCTTACCGTTATTATGAGACCCCCTCCTAAGATCAATAGGCTGCGATATTGCTGCTATTGTGGGGTTCTTGCAGTGTACAGCAGGATTTCAGTGCCTACTGATAACTTTTCAATATCATGGCTGGGTGATGTAATACAATTATTTAAATTAAAACAGATGATAATATTGAAACCTAGTGGCCAGTAATATTTATGCTCCAAATGTCTACGGCAGTTTAAAATACATTTAAAAAATTGTGCCATTATGGGCTCAGGTAAGTCCTAGGCCTTTCTGTTGTGGCATTAACATTTTAATTTCAGGCAATCGTCAAACTTTTAACAAATAAGCAATCGTATAAAACTACTTTGCCTAATCTCCTCCATGTGTGTCTGTGCAAGAGATTAAGCGAAGCCTAATTGCATCCCTCCAATCCGTGGTATCCCAGAAAGGTCATACTCGGGGCTTCCTCGTGTGACCTCCAAGCAATGTGGAGGAGGTCGCACAAGTCCGGGACTCAATTTTGTTCACAAAGTCTTCCTTACAGAGACACCTGTTTGAATTCCACGTGAGCGAGCCCTGTGCCCAGACATCACCCAAGTTTAGGAAATGGTTTCGTTTTATTGAGGGGTCACCAAGGAGAGCTTTATCCCAGGCATTTGGGGGAGCGGTAGTGTGGTGGTTAGTGCACTGCATCACGCATCTGGCGCCCCGAGTTCGATTCCCGCTCACGACCAATCACAGCCGCGAATATTTGAACCGATCATGGGCCTCCGTTAGGTCGACTAAAACTCAAATGAGTACCTGGTGCAATGGATGCACATTGCCACTAGGGAGACTAATAATGCAGGCCGTGGCACTGGCCGTTCTCTCCCTCGTGTGCCGTGCCAGCATTCAAGTTTCAAGTTTCATTTATTAGGTATAGCCCTGTGAGCCATGCGGCTCTTAAGTCGGGTGCAACCGCAACAAACAAAATTCATAGGTTGTTTGCAAACAGCACTTACCCAAAACGTCTATTAAGTCTATAGGGGGGATCTGTGTCTTTGTTGTGTGCATGCATGTACGTTGGGAGTAATATATATTAGGTATCTATCCATAGTTAAATACTCAATGTACGTATATGATATTTTCTGTAAATTGCTGTCCATAGAAGTGTGTAGTGCGCAGATATAGTCACGGTCCAGTGAGTTGCATTGAGCAAGCTTTATATTTTACTCGTGTTCATACGTGTTACCCTACGTGTCTAGAAGGCGGTCATTGCGCTGGTTAACTGTTTCATGGATGTAGCAGAAATCGTTTTGCTTTCCAATTGTTAGTTAAATTGACAGAACATGGGATAAACTCATAAAAGTATAATGGCTAACACGGACAAGCAGTTTAACAGTGAGGCATATTGCACGAATAATGAAACTTATAAATGGCAAACAGAATGGGACAACAGCCCGTAAATTCAACAGCCAGTTAAACAGAGACAAATATTTTAAAATGTGTTTGCTATGTACAGTAGAGGATATAATTTGTCAATATTGTTATCTTTGAGGACTAGCAGATCCATGAATCTTGTCGTTATCTGAGAACGCCTGAGGATTTACAGATAATTTTGATGATGAATAGAAAACTTCCAACAAGCACTCTATCACAGCCTAATTGAAGTTTCACACGATGGCAAGGTGATCCAGTGTTTGCTCGTGATGTCTGCACGATGTCATACATCACGCATGATACAGCACTGGGTTTCCACTAGGGGTGTAATTATTAGAGTTGCACCGAATAGCACCTCTTACTTTTCAGCCCAACACCCTGTATAGGTATTCTGCAAATCCGAATTAGAGGCTGAATAGAATGAATATATATTTATTGAATAAAGTGGCACGTCTCTCTGTCTTCACCTGTCTGCCCAATTGTGTCTGTCTCCATCTGTCCCCGCCCCCCCCCCCCTCCTTCCAATGTGTCTCTCTGTCTCCCTCTGCATTACTCTTCATGTCTCCCTATGTCTCTTTGTTTCTCCCTATCTCTCTCTCAACTCTGCATCTCTTTCACCATCATCTCTGTCTCATCCCCATCTACATATCTTAATTTGTGCCTGCCGTAGTTGTTATTGTCGCTGCCAAGTGGGGAGACTTTCATCCAGCAGTGGATTGACAAATTGCCGCAAATATAAAAAAACAAACATCACCATCAGTCGCTAGCGAACAGATGTCCCCACGTGGCTGGCTGCATATTCTTCGCGTAACCATTGGGACGATGCGCGCGTGCATTGCAGGTGAGGGCAGACGATGCCGGCTACTACCAGTGCATGGCAGAGAGCCCGCTGGGCAGCGCGTGTGCCCTCGCTGTGCTCAAGGTGAGCGTGCTGGAGAGCCTCCTGTCGCCGCCTCACCACCTCACCGCCTCGTCGCTCTCCAACACCTCCGTGTTGCTGTCATGGGAGCGGCCGCTGCAGCACAGCGAGCGCATCATCGGCTTCTCTCTTCACTACCAGCGTGCGACAGGTCCCATGCACGCCAGGCGCTTGGCACTGACGGCCCCGTGCACAGTATGTGCGGAATTGCAGGAGGGTCAAGATGAGGCGTATTCCGATGAGAGCGACTGCACCCTATGGCCCTGTCGATTAGTCGTCACCCTGCCATTGTTTATGAGCAGGGTGAGTGCACATTGTGAATACGCGTCAGCGTTGTCACTAACCACTACACTACAATGCGTTACGCTTCCACACACACACACACACAGACACATACACAGACACATACACACACAGACACATACACAGACACACACACACAGACACATACACAGACACACACAGACACATACACACACAGAACACACACACAGACACATACACATACACACACAGACACATACACAGACACACACACAGACACATACACAGACACACACACACAGACACATACACAGACACACATACACAGACACATACACAGACACACACAGACACATACACACACATAACACATACACAGACACATACACAGACACATACACAGCGCGCTAACCACTACACTACAATGCGTTACGCTTCCACACACACAGACAGACACACACAGACACAGACAGACAGACACAGACAGACACACACAGACACATACACAACAACAACAACCGCCATTCGCCACTAAGTGGCGGTGACGTCACCACGACGCTTGTGCCAGGCTATGTGCACCCTGAGGCCACGTGAAGTGTCGAACGCCCGCTGGCAGGAGGTCACGGGGCAGACCCAGGTGCCACGGGTCGACTGACTGAGATGACTGGCTGATGCACCACCTGTGCCCCCTACTGTGCCAACCTGCTGTGCTTTAGCCACCCGGCGCTCCGCTCGCTGTTGTGAGCGTCGCTCCTCCGCCCTCCATTGTTGTTGGAGGGCGACTGCCTCCAACTGCCCAGTAGCATCCTTCACGAGCCTCCTCCACAGAGGCCGATCTTGACACCGCTGGTACCAGTCATCGGCAAGTCCACTCAGCTCCACGTCCTCCTGTACCACATCACTCTATCTCTTCTCTAGCCCGTGCCGTGCCCGCTTAGCCCCCTCAATCCGGCCAAACAAAAGCTGTTTCGGCATGCGGTGGCTGGGCATGCGGGCTACATGACCCAGCCATCGCAGCCTTGCCTGCCGGAGGAGCTCACCGATGGGACCCTGCCCAGATCTTTCAAGGATTTGTGAGCTCCTCACACAATCCAGTCTGGTTAAACCCAGGATGGATCGTAGGCAGGCCAGCCTAAATGTTTCTAACCGGCGAAGATGTTCCATTAGGGGGGTCCACGTTTCGCAAGCGTAGAGAAGGGAGGGAATGACCGTGGCCGAGAAGACCTGAAGCTTAGTGCGGAGCGACAGACCAGGTAGCTTCCACACAGCGTTACGCAACCGATGAAAAGATATTGCCGCTCGACTGATTCGGAGTGAGACCTCTGCTGTTAAACTGGAGCCAGTCATAAGCACACTGCCCAGGTATGGGAAACTCTCCACTCTCTCCACAACTGCCCCATCACCGATTGGGAGTTGTGGGGGTGGAGTGTCCGATGGTACAAAATACCCAGGCAGGTGCTTAGTTTTGGTGGGGCTGATGGTAAGGCCCCACCTCTTAGTGGCATGCTCCAGTCTCAGCAGCAGCGTCTCCAACTCCTCCTCTGACTGAGCAGCTATTACCAAATCATCAGCATACATAACGTGGTTGAGCAATAGGGAGCCATCCCTTGACCGCACCCGGGCATCGATTAGCCTCCCATTATATCTGTACCATATGGAGATTCCCCCGGTACAGCTATTGAAGGCTTCACGAACTACGTGGTCAAAATAGATGTTAAATAATGTGGGAGCCAGAGGACATCCCTGTCACACCCCAAGGTGTACAGGGAATGGCTCTGACTCCCGGCCAAGTAGTTTTACCCGGGCCCGCTCACCATCATGAAGGTCCTTAATGATCGTGAGCAGAGGGTCAGGTACTCCAAAAGCACGAAGAACGACCCAGAGCCCAGGCCTACTGATGGTATCATAGGCCTTGACCAGGTCAATAAAGCAGAACACACACACAGACACATACACAGACACATACACAGCGTGCTAACCACTACACTACAATGCGTTACGCTTCCACACACACAGACAGACACACACAGACACAGACAGACAGACACAGACAGACACACACAGACACATACACAACAACAACAACCGCCATTCGCCACTAAGTGGCGGTGACGTCACCACGACGCTTGTGCCAGGACATGTGCACCTTGAGGCCACGTGGAGTGTCGAACGCCCGCTGGCAGGAGGTCACGGGGCAGACCCAGGTGCCACGGGTCGACTGACTGAGATGACTGGCTGATGCACCTCCTGTGCCCCCTACTGTGCCAACCTGCTGTGCTTTAGCCACCCGGCGCTCCGCTCGTTGTTGTGAGCGTCGCTCCTCCGCCCTCCGTTGTTGTTGGAGGGCGACTACCTCCAACTGCCCAGTAGCGTCCTTCACGAGCCTCCTCCACAGAGGCCGATCTTGACACCGCTGGTACCAGTCATCGGCAAGTCCACTCAGCTCCACGTCCTCCTGTACCACATCACTCCATCTCTTCTCTAGCCCGTGCCGCGCCCGTTTAACCCCCTCGATCCGGCCGAACAAAAGCTGTTTCGGCATGCGGTGGCTGGGCATGCGGGCTACATGACCCAGCCATCGCAGCCTTGCCCGCCGGAGGAGCTCACCGATGGGACCTTGCCCAGATCTTTCAAGGATTTGTGAGCTCCTCACACAATCCAATCTGGTTAAACCCAGGATGGATCGTAGGCAGGCCAGCCTAAATGTTTCTAACCGGCGAAGATGTTCCATTAGAGGGGTCCACGTTTCGCAAGCGTAAAGAAGGGAGGGAATGACCGTGGCCGAGAAGACCTGAAGCTTAGTGCGGAGCGACAGACCAGGTAGCTTCCACACAGCGTTACGCAACCGATGAAAATATATTGCCGCTTGACTGATTCGGAGTGAGACCTCTGCTGTTAAACTGGAGCCGGTCATAAGCACACTTCCCAGGTATGGGAAACTCTCCACTCTCTCCACAACTACCCCATCACCGATTGGGAGTTGTGGGGGTGGAGTGTCCGATGGTACAAAATACCCAGGCAGGTGCTTAGTTTTGGTGGGGCTGATGGTAAGGCCCCATCTCTTAGTGGCACGCTCCAGTCTCAGCAGCAGCATCTCCAACTCCTCCTCTGAATGAGCAGCTATTACCAAATCATCAGCATACATAACGTGGTTGAGCAATAGGGAGCCATCCCTTGACCGCACCCGGGCATTGATCAGCCTCCCATTATATCTGTACCATATGGAGATTCCCCCGGTACAGCTATTGAAGGCTTCACGAACTACGTGGTCGAAATAGATGTTAAATAATGTGGGAGCCAGAGGACATCCCTGTCGCACCCCAAGGTGTACAGGGAAAGGCTCGGACTCCCAGCCACGTAGTTTTACCCGGGCCTGCTCACCAAAAGCACGAAGAACAACGCAGAGCCCAGGCGTATTGATGGTATCATAGGCCTTGACCAGGTCAATAAAGCAGAGATGTAGGTCTTGCTGGAATTCCCTACACCTCTGCTGTAGCAGACGGACAGAAAATATGGCATCTGTGCAGGACCGCCCTTTCCTGAAACCGCATTGGGGCTCTGCAAGCCTCTCCGCAGCGTGCCTGGCAAGGCGATGTTGAATAATCCTTGCCAGGACCTTTCTCGGCACACTGAGGAGTGAGATGCCCATATAGTTGTTATAGTCTGTGCGGTCCCCCTTCTTAAAGAGGGGGACCACCAGGGCATCCTTCCAATCCTGCGGAACCCGTCCAGTTGTCCAGACTGTTGTTATGATGTCATATAGGGCAGTCTGTGCACAAACTACACCCTCCCTCAGCATTTCGCTTGGGAGATCATCTCTGCCCGCTGCCTTTCCTGGTCTCAGACTCCGGATCGCCCTCAGTACTTCCTCAACAGATGGCACTTCAGCCAGCCACTCACAGGGGGTGACTTCTTTCAATATTTGAGGCACCTTAGCCTCAGCAGGGTCATCCTCACTTTGTGCCACGATGTTTTCCTGGCTGAGGGATTTTCCCTCCTCCAGGACCTCACAGAAATGCTCAGCAAATCTGCAAACCTGTTCCTGGGGGTCGGAAATTGGATCACCGTTTTTTCCCCTAATGATGGTAATAGGTGTGGTGCTGCAGGTTACTTTTTTGATTGAGTTAACTAGAGATTTGTGATCGCGGGCCACTGAGGCAGACTCCATCTCCTCAGCAACCCGTGACCACCACCCATCCTTGCAGCGCCTCACGGCTCTCCGAACCTCCGAGCGAAGGTTGCGGTAAGCCTCCTCATATACATATACACAGACACATACACACAGACACACACACACAGACAGACACAAACACAGACACAGACACACACACAGACGCAGACAGACACACACACAGACACACACACAGACACATACACACAGACACATACACAGCGCGCTAACCACTACACTACAATGCGTTACGCTTCCACACACACACAGGCACAGACAGACACACAGACACACACAGCGCACTAACCACTACACTACAATGCGTTACGCTTCCACACACACACAGACATACACAGCGCACTAACCACTACACTACAATGCGTTACGCTTCCACACACACACAGGCACAGACAGACACACACACAGACACACACACAGACACACACATAGCGCGCTAACCACTACACTACAATGCGTTACGCTTCCACACACACACACAGACACACACACAGACACACACACAGACACATACACAGCGCGCTAACCACTACACTACAATGCGTTACGCTTCCACACGCGCGGGTCACATGACAGATTTGACGTCACAGCTCACTTACCGTGCAAAAAATATATGCATTATTGAGACCCCCCCCCCCCCAAAAAAAAGTACTTTTATAATTTTTGCATGGTGTACAGTCTAGAAGCTACCCACATGG